TCTTGACAACTCACTCACTATTATGTGAACCGCATGGGGGAAATGCCCCCATGATCCAGTCACCTCCCATGAGGCCCCTCCCCCAGCATGTGGGGTAACAATTAGATTACAATTCAAGATGAGATTTGGGGAGGGACACAGAGCCAGACCATATCAATGACTCAACTGCATGATGCTGATGTTTGCTGTATGAATGATCCCATCACCCAGTAGTGAGCACAGGACACAGTAGGTAGTTTATCAACCCTAGCCTCTTCTCCTGTCCTCTTCCCTCTAGTAGTCACCAGTGTCTATTGTATCCATCTTTATGTTCATGAGTAGTCAATGTTTTGCACCCACTTATAAGTATTTGGTTTTGTGTTCTGGCATTAATTCGCTTAGGATAATGGCCTCCAGCTGCATCCATGTTGCTGCAAAAGACATGATTTTTTTTTTTGAGACACAGTGTCTCTCTGTCACCCAGGCCGGAGTGCAGTGTCACTGTCTCAGCTCATGCAACCTCCACCTCCCGGTTGAAGTGATTCTTCTGCCCCCGCCTCCCCAGTGGCTGGGATTACAGGAATGTGCCACCATGCCTGGCTAATTTTTGTATTTTTTGGTAGAGATGGGTTTCACCATGTTGGCCAGGCTGTTGTCAAATTCCTGACCTCAGGTAATCCGCCCGCCTCTGCCTCCCAAAGTGCTGGGATTATAGGTGTGAGCCACCATACCCGGCCATGATTTTGTTATTTTCTGTGGCTGCATAGTGTTCCATGGTATATATATAACACGTTTTCTTTATCTAATATACTGTTGATGGACACCTAGGTTGATTCCATGTTTTTGCTGTTGTGAATAACACTAGCTGTAATTTTGTATCCTTTAACAAATCTCTCCCTATCCTCTCTTCCCCCTTCCCTTCCCAGCCTCTGACATCCACTGTGCCACTTTTGCTTTTACAAAATCAACTTACTTTTTTAGCTTCCGCATATGAATGAGAACATGTGCTGTTTAACTTTCCGTTTCTAGCATATTTCACCTAACATAATGTCCTCCAGTTCCATCCATGTTGCCACAAATGCCGTTCTTTCTTATGGCTGAAATGGATTTCATTCTTTTTATGGGGATGTTGGTTTGTTGTGAGTTTTTTACTTCATTTTGTTTTGTTTTTAGAGAGCCAAGTGTGAGGCATCTTCCAACACACCATTGCAAACACTCCAAGTCCCAATTGCTTCCCCTAAGATCCAACCTTCTTAACTGACCAGACCCTGTGAAAAGATGAGATTTCAAGGAGGAGGAACATAGTGAAAGCACGCTTTAGCTAAAATGTTGGCATGGGGTAAGAGTAGGATATTATGTCCAGTTTGATTTGGTGTTTCCCTGGGTTTTGTTTCTCTTTTAGCTAAAAGTGTGTACTTTTTATGCCATTGCAGAATTAATTCGATGGCTCCATTGAAATGGTGGTCGCATGTGTAGGTTCAGTTTGAAAAAATTATCAAGCTGCACATTTAAGAGTTGTGTACTTTCCTTCACATAGGTTATTCTCTTTTTTTTTTTATCATTATTATACCTTAAGTTCTGGGGTACATGTGCAGGTCGTGCAGGATTGTTACATAGGTTTACACATGCCACAGTGTATACCTATGTTTATGCTGCATCCATCCCCCCGTCATCTATATTAGGTATTTCTCCTAATGTTAGCCCTCCCCAATCCCCCCATCCCCTGATATCCCTCCCCAATCCCCTCACCCCCTGCTATTCCTCCCCTAGCCCCTCCACCCACCAACAGGCCCCAGTATGTGATGTTCCCCTCCCTATGTCCATGTGTTCTTATTGTTCAACGCCCACTTATGAGTGAGAACATGTGGTGTTTGATTTTCTGTTCTTGTGTCTGTTTGCTGAGAATGATGGTTTCCAGCTTCATCCATGTCCCTGCAAAGGACATGAATTCATCCTTTTTATGGCTGCATAGTATTCCATGGTGTATATGTGCCACATTTTCTTTATCTAAATAGTTTTTTAAAGAACATGAAAAAATTGAGTTAGTTCCACATGTGCTACCATGGAAAGATGACCCAGACATATAATTTGGTGAACAAGGCAAGTAGCAGGACAATTTTGTAGAATGAGCCCACCTATGTAACTAACGCTGTGAATGTGTGTAAGTCAATGAAGAAATAGGAGCTGAAGGGAAATTGCTCAGTCTTGTGTCTGGGTTACCTTGAAGCAAATGAAAGAATTGGAGGGATGAGAGTGGGCCAGTTTTGCTAAAAAAGCTTTCTGTATTGCTTAAAAGTCACACCAGTAGGAATGGAATTAAAATATGCATCAGGCCAAGCATGGTAGGAATCACTCTTGTAATCCCAACACCCCAGGAGGCCCAGGCAGGTGGATAATTTTGAGCTCAGGAGTTTAAAACCAGCCTAGGCAACATGGCAAAACCCCGTTTCTAAAAAAAAAAAAAAAAAATTAGCCAGGCATGGTGCCATACACCTGTAGTCCCAGCTACTGGGAAGGCTGAGGCTAGAGAATTACTTGAGTCTGGGAAGCAGAGGTTGCAGTGGGTCATGATCGTGTCCTTGCACCCTAGCCTGAGCAACTTCATTAGACCCTGTCTTTAAAAAATCCACACAAAAACTTATACATAAATATGTATAACAGCATCCTTCAAACAGCCAGTAGCCTAGCACAACTCAAATGTCCCTCCACAGATGAATAAATAAACAAAATGAGGTATATCTGTACAACGGACTATTATTCAGCCGCAAAAAGGAATGAAGCACTAATATGTGCTACAATGTGGATGCTATCTTCTTCCTCCTTGAAACTTCATTGCTTTATAGGGTCTGGTCAGCTAAGAAGTTTGGCTCTTAGGGGAAGGGATTGGAATGGGAGTATCTGCAATGGTTTGCTGAAAGATGCCTAACACTTGGCTCTCTAAAAATCAAAACAAAATGAAACAAGAGACAACAAACCAACATGCCCCCAATACTGTTCTTGAAAACATCATGCTGAGCAAAAGAAGCCAGACACAAAAATCACATAATATGATTCTATTTCTGTGAAATATCCAGAACAGGGTAAGCTACAGAGACAGAAAGTCTGCTAGTGGTTGCCTAAGGCTAGAATGTATGGAGAGTTTGGGAGTGATAGCTAAAGGGTACCAGGATTCTTTTGAGGGGGTGATAAAAATGTTCTAAAATGGGCCAGGTGTGGTGGCTTACATCTGTAATCCACCAGGAGTTCGAGACCAGCCTGGGCAACATAGCAAGACTATGTCTCTACAAAAAAACTTAAAAAAAAAAAAACTAACCAGGCATGGTGGTGCACACTTGTAGTCTCAGCTTCCCAGGAGGCTGAGGCAGGAGGATCACGTGAGCCCAGGAGTTTGAAGCTGCAGTGAGCTGTGATCTCTCCACTGCACTCTGGCCTGGGTGACAGATCAAGATATTGTCTCCAAAAAAAAGAAAAAAGAAAATGTTCCAGAATGAACTGTGGCAATGGTTGCATCACTGTGAATGTACTAAAGCTCACTGAATTGGACACTTTCTGCGAATGAATTGTATAATACGTAAATTATATCTCATTTAAGCTGTTGCTATGGAATCAAGTTTGTTCTGCCTCCGTGTAGCAAGCCAATCACTGCAGTGACAGATTTTGCAGAAGAGAAAGAGTTTATTTGCAAGGCAATTAATCGAGGTGGTGGGAAAACAGGTCCCAAATCCTCCTACCCAAAAATAGGGTTTGAGGGTACTTATGGGATAGAACACAGGGTGGTCTAAAGTATGAAGAAAGATGACTAGCTGTAGAAAAGGTGAAGTCATGAGGATTTCTGAGCAAGCATAGTTGAGCTACATGGCTTTAGATAGGACATATGTGCAGAAAGTAGCATTTAGCATGATCTGAGGGTGGAGTTTATGGCCCTCTGATGTCAGCTACCCACATGGGTCCAGATGAAGGGTCTGCGATCTCCACTGGCTTAAACTAGACAAGAGCTGCCTCCCACCTAGTTCTTGAAAAACAACTTTAAGCACCCATTACCATAGTGACCCACAGTCAGAAATGTTATCTGTAGGGAAGCTATCGAGAGTTTAGTTATGCATTATTTGGCTATGTGACTTGCTAGTGGCATTTTAAGATCAACTGTAAGTAAGCAATTAAAAGCAAGTAAGCAATTAAAGGCAAGGCAGGTTAAGTTTGGAGGGCTTAATCAGGTTCACCTTTGGTTTTGCTGCTAACATAAGTAAAATAAAATGAAATAAAATGGCTGAAAAAAATAGAGGAGGAAGAAGAGAAGAGAGGGCTCAACATGAGGCATCAGTTAAGGCAACTGGGCTGGAACCTTTTAGGGGTTACTTGTTTGCTTGTTTTTATATTTAAGACAGGGTCTGGCTCTGTCACTCAGGCTGAAGTGCAGAGGCACAGTCATAACTCACTGCAGCCTCAAACTCCTGGGCTCAAGCCAGCCTCCTACCTCAGCCTCCTGAGCAGCTAGGACTACAGATGCATGCTATCATTTTGCTTTTTTTGTTTGTTTTTTTAGAGACAGGGTCTCACTATACCCAAGCTGGTCTCAAACTCCTGACCTCAAGTGATCCTCCTGCCTTGGCCTCCCAAAGCACTGGGACTACAGGCGTGAACCACCACACCTCACCCCTTATAGATTTGAATGCCAACTGTGCCAATTGCTGACCTTGGGCAGTCATTTCACCTCTATCAGCCTCAGTTTCCCCACCTGCAAAATGGGACAATACTGATCTCTCTAGACTCTTGAGTACTTGAGGAGATGACAAGTAAATGAAGTCGGAGTTATCTACACAGTGGAAGGTGAGATGAATGAACTAGGCATAGTGATGATGTAATAACCAGATGAGCTGGATATGGGATGGGGGCTGGGAGGGGTTGTGGCTGGGCTGGCACAGACCTCTGGCTAATTTAGAGGCTCTGCCTAGGCCACCTTTGCCAGAGGGAGTCCACTCAGCCTTACCGTCACCCATCCCATTGGCGTTGGCTCCATTTTCACACTAAGGCTGTGCCAAGGGTGTGTCATGAGGCTTCTTGAGTGACAGAAAACTCACTGACAATAAAGGGACAGATGATTGTACCACCTCATTCACAGACAGGCCTCTTAGGAGAAACCCGGGGAGATTCCACACTGTCAGCCCCTTCTCCAACATCAGCACGTGTTCCTGACTCCTCCTCGGTGCCCAGCTCTGTACTGGCAACTAGGAGAGTAGTGAACTTGAACTTGGCCTTGAGGAACAGCTGCCTCTAGGGTCGGTAAGCGATTTTGCAGATATTAGCTCTTCCATCTCTCTCCCTCTCTCTCTCTCTCTCTCTCTCTCTCACACACACACACACACACACTCTCTCCTCTCTCTCTCTCTCTCTCTTTCATACACACGCTCCCTCTCCCTTCATGAATTAATGCTCTGGCCAGTTTGGGCAGAATGGAAGAAATTTCCATCCATACATCCACTCTTTCTTTCATCTGTTCATTTGTGTCTTATTTGTTTACTCAGCAAATTCTCTCCACACCCACTCTGTGCTCCTTGCCACACTGTTGGCCGTGGTGGAGACAGAGATAATGAAGTCGGGCTTTCAGTCCTGAAAACTGAGCTGCCAGTTCAGTGGGTGAATGTATGGATATGGATAGATGATGAATGAATGGACAGACAGTAGATGGATAGATGAATGAATTGTTGGATGACTGGATAGATAGGTGGATGAAAAGATAGATGGATATATGGGTGATGGGGGAAGGCATAGCAGATATTATGCCACCCAAACTGTCAGAGAAGGATCTTGATAGGGAAAGAAAGAAAGGGAAAGAAAGAAAGAAAGAAAGAAAAGAAAGAAAGAAAGAAAGAAAGAAAGAAAAGAAAAGAAAAGAAAAGAAAAGAAAAGAAAAGAAAAGAAAGAAAAGAAAAGAAAGAAA